GGAATCCATGTACCCCCCCCAAAAAAATCTCCTAAAAATATTCTATTATCTAAGAAAAAGAACAAGCTTCCCCTTTTTGGTGCAGGATGACCAGAATTTAAACCTTATATAATGTTCTCCCCTGTTTAGTGCCATATCGCTTTATAAAAGGTACATTAACAGCAAGAAGCCAAGAACACAGTTACTAAAAATCAAATAAAATGTCTTCATTTTCTTATGAATAAATAAAAGAATATTCTGTTAAGCAAGAAAGTTACACTTTAGTTCTACCCAGTGTTTAGATGAGAAAACCTTTCAATCAGGTGTTAGCCATCACCAAGCAGCACACTTGGTGACCCCCCGTCGTGTCCAGCTTGCTGGGTGACCATCCCCTGTGTCCTTCCACCAGAAGGAGGACCCACCACCCACATATCCCAACATCCCCCCTGTTGTCTTCCACGGACCACAAGCTGGAGCTGTCACTAGAATTTGTTTTCCTACTTTGGGTAGTCTAAAATATCTAGGTCATAAAACTCATGGAAAATTTCTATTGGTTAAATTGAAACCATCGTAAATGTCATTAACAGTGAAATTATTACTCATTGCAAATTTTTCATTTCTTGATTTTTGTCTTCCTGTTTACTACTTTGACTGAGAAACTCTTAAGAAGTGAGTTTCATAGTATACTTGAATCAGATGTTTAGCTGAGGTTTCTCTTAAAGAAGGGATTGCGGCCTCCCTGGAGGCTCAAGGGGTTAAATCTCAGCACTATGAAGCTATCTGTAGCCACAGCAGCACCAGTTCAATCCCTTGCCAGGGAGCTACCCACATGGTGCAGCAGACCTCTCCTGTCTCACCCACTGATCCCCTCAGCAGTGTATTTCAGTAGATCCACCTGTTCTGCTCCGCACTCTGTCTCTGGTGAATCCTCTCACCCCTTGCACCTCTGGCATACACCCCAGTTCTTCTATGCAAAAATAAATAAATAAAATGTTTTCAAAAAGGGGGAGTTGTGCTTTTGGGGTTCAGTAACTATTTACTTTCCCCTCATCCATCTCCATCTTCTGAGCTGCTTATCCTTCATTCACCTCTACTCCACATACTTATTTTCTTCATTGACTGGGGTCTTGTTGAAATATGTAACAATCGGTTATTTAGTTACATGGGAGGCTTATTAAAACAAAACAAAACATTATTAATGACCAGAAGCATGAAGAGGACTGAGAGGCCCTGAGCAGCCTGACTTGGTAAAAATTACAACACCCTTGATGATATGACTAGAGGCCCTGGGAAAATTCTCTCTGACATCTTAACTAACTCCAATAACACATAATCCCAACTCAGAAACTTGTTTGAAGTCGACAGCAGGAGTACTTTTGGATTCAGTTGGAATCCAACTTTCTACTCCTTTAATCAGATAATCTTAACCAGTGTACTGATCATCTCAACTTTCAATTTTGTGTCTGGACAAAAGGAGATAATACATCCAACCTAAGGACTGTTGTGATGATGACATGAGATTTAGAAACCAGACACCAAAAAATAATTCAGTAGATGTTTAGTGACATTTGTAAGAGACAATATTATCTAGCAGATGTAATACAGTAAACTGCTGTATTAGATCCATCAGATGCTATACTAACCCTGACAGTTTCCTGAGTAACTTAACCCAAGAAACTTAAAAGAACTTCACAAGGTATAGATAGTTGAGGTTTCTTAGGAAAATCCAAACTACCAGTGAAAAGGGCATGCTTGTCTGAAACAAAATTTGAAAAGTGCAGTAAGCCAGCTAGGGCACAGGTTAGCCAAGAACGAGGGTGAAAGAATGCTGAAGAATACGGATGTTTCACAATTATGTCCTATTTTGCACATTTTCTTTCTACAGTAAATACTAAAGTTAAATAAATAACTAATGTTATCTATTTATAGTATTTCCACAAAGCTCTGCCAGATCTCATGTCTGAATGTATGTATTCTATGTCCACAATTCTTGTTCCACAAAAATCTATCATTATTTCACATTCAAGGAGCTACATGATCTGGATTTGACTTCCCTCTACCATCATGTCCTATAAATCCCCATAAGAAAACTGTACAATAACCACACCAATATGCACTAGTGGTTTGAGGAGTAATTTTTATATTATTTCACATTTCACTAAGTACAAGGAGGGTCCCCCTATCCATATTCTACTTACTTTAGTTAACTGCTTCTGGTCCTTCAGAACTTACTGCTTTTTCTTGAACTCCAGCTATCACATCTATATCCACCACAGGTCCAAACACACCTTGGACATTCATCACATTGATCCATTTATGGCTAACTAGCTTTTCTTCTCCCCATTGTTATGGTGAGTTCTTCAAGATCAAGGTCAATTATGTCCTTGACTTTGTCTGCACAGCAGACTACCTGCCTGTTGCAAAGTAAACATGTGATAAATGAGTAATGTCAGATGGAGCATTAAGTACCGATGCAACTACAAATAATTTTCCAAAACTGTCACCATATAACTTAGGACTAGGTTCTAAGATGATGAATGAAATAAAAAAAAAAAAGTTAAATCAGAATCTCAACCCCTTCTCCCTCATGAGACTGACATAAGGAACTTCTTGATGTCCTCTGAATCTTGCCCTGAGATGCTGACCATGCTTTCCTGGGCATACTTATGAGGGGAAGTTAGATCCCTGTCTTTTGATCCTGGGTAGGTTGGTCATTGAAAAACTGTATGGAAATTAAATGCTGATGCCTTCATTGCCACAATAAGTTGCAGAAGATGGGGCTTTGTCATTTTTCTACAGAAAATGGAAAGGGTTGTATAGGAAAAATGATGATGATGCTTTTGCGCTGTTGGCCTCTCTGACTATCACCTGTGGCCTTGAATGCAGGAGGCATTTAGGAGCATGGGCTTGGGGTACACTTGATGGTGGACACCTGGAGCATGGTGTTGGTGTGCATAAATGGGCACACCTGATCTTAGAGGCTAAGCATATAAGGGTAGTGTCAAATAGGACAGTGCAGCAGAGTGGCAGACAGCAGCATGACAGCTATTAGAGGTAGAGACCACAAGTGTAGGGGAAGGTAAAGTATCAGGCTTTTCTGCCCTCCTGCCATCAGGATGGATGATGGATCTGCGGTCCTGAATGGGTGTGGACACATGTAGATGGGATTCACCTGGGCTGAGAGACTGGGCTTATAAGGGCGGCGTCATGGGGACACCAGCAGAACCACGAGTAGAAGCAGAGGAGAAACACGAGAGAAGCAGAGAGAATGCGAGAACGCTGGAGAGCCCAGAAAGAGTGAAAACTTGCTGGGAGCTGGGAGGCCTGCCAGCTTCCTGGCTCCCTAGTAACCCTGCCTGCCGTGTGCCTGGTAGATCCCAATAAAAGCCTGAAAAGCCACTGAGGGCTCCAGGACTCTCCTTTACCCGGTCTGCTGGATCAGAAAACCTGCACTGTACACTTCCTGCCGATACAACGAGACAATGCCACAGAGTGCCCAAGGAGTGGAGATTTGCTGGGGGCTAGGAGACCTGCCAGCCTCTTGGCCCCACAGACCCCCCCCACTCTGCCCTACTGCCTTGCTGGTATAAAAGGTTGTTAGATATACACTATCTTCTATGTTGATGATTATAAGGGAACCAGAGCAGAGGGAAAGGATGTTCTGAAGAGGTGGCCCATCTCATAGAACCCAAGGGGGGCAAAATTTTGGCCATTTTCTCACTGAGCTGAGGTTTCATTTACAATAGTTTCTGCTGGCCTCCCTGGTGGTGCAAGGGGTTAAGATGCAGTACTATGAAGCTATCCACAGACGCTGTAGCACAAGTTCGATCCCCAGCCAGGGAGCTACCCACATGGCGCAGCAGACCTCTCCTGACGCACCCGCTGCTCCCCTCAGCAGTGTATTTCAGTCGATCTGCCTGCTCTGTTCCCCACTCTGTCTCTGGCAAATCCTCTCACCCCTGGTACCTCTGGCCTGTACCCCAGTTCTTGTATGCATACATAAATAAATTTTCAAAAATAAATAAATAAATAAAATAGTCTCTGCTGTTGTGAATTCAGAGAATGAAGGAAAACTACTTAAAATAAATTTCAGCTGGTTGAGAGCAGCTTCACATAGGAATTCTTAATTATAATTGAGCACCATTTGAAGAAGCAAGCACAATTAGAAAAGCAAAACTAAAGAATGCCTTAAATTCAGACAAAAGTGTCTTTAGAAATGTTCTGTGCATATTTCCATAATCGATAGAGTGAAAAACTAGCAGTTCAACTGGAAGACAAAGGAACAGTAGATGTAATGATCATGGGAATTTAAAAATAAACTTAATTTACAAAAGGAATTTGTAAATGAGTGGCTACTCTCAGATATATGGAGTTCAAATTTTGCATCTGTCACTTAGTAGATATGTGTGACCTTAGGAAAATTACTGAACCTCTCTGCAACATGCCTCAACTTTAACATGCAAAAGTGAAAAGGTAAAAAACAAATTATGGAATTATAATTTAATTTACAAAATTTTACAAAATTTTATTTATTACGAAATAAATCTTGCAATATAGATTTATTTCTATGCTCAATCATTAGAAATCTCCTTTGCTATATTTTTATCGACAGTAAAAGGGTAGACTGGTGACTGAAACATCAGTGGCAAATGGAGGAGAAAGAAATAGTTTATCTAGTTACACATTCCTCATCTCCCACTCGATCTTAAAAAACCTGCATTCCCCACAATATAGAAACACTGGCTAAATCACAAGGCTATATATTCCATTAAGTTCTTTGTTTAAAATGGAATGTTCAGAAATAAGGAGGTGATGATGTGAAAATGAGCTTTATGTTGCAAACCTCAGTAATAGTCCTCAAAATACTGGAACTGGCAACTTTCAAAGTTAAAAACAATCACAGTCATTAGGAAACCCTAGTTCGTATTGAATTTCTCATTCAGCTCTTCTCTCGGGGGAAATTTTATGCATCAATTAATGTACTTTCTCCACAAGCGAAGCGAGATTGTGATGCCCATTACCATTCATCCTTGTCGGCGTCACAATTGCAGAAGTGTCGAATGTCCAGGCAACTCTCGTCCAGGCCACACTCACACTGCTGGATTCCAGGAGGGGCACCACCCCAGTAAGGGTGCCTTTCATTGGACCGCCCAATCCACCAGGTAAATGGTGTTCCATCTGAAAGAGAATATATTTTGTCATCAGAGTGGAGCCAGCCTGAACTAGCACTGAGGAATCACAGAAACTGAAGATAATGTATTGTAATATGTATTGTTGGTGTGTACATTATATGCCATATATATAGTCTGTCTGGTTGGCATATATAATATATGTAATATATACCTCAAATACACACACACACACACACACACACCCCTCCTTCCTTCCATATCTCAGTATCTCATCACTTCTTTCTTTTCCTTCACTTTTTTCTCTCCTTTCTTTTTTCCTTTCTTCATTTCTCCCCTTCCTTCCCACCTTCCCTCCTTTCTCCTTTACAACCTTTCTAGACACACACACACACACACACACACACACACACATATATACCTATATCTCTGTACCAATATGCACATTCACATACAGACAACACTTTCGTGGAAATTATATAGTGTGACATTGATTAATCACAATATTCAGAGGCATTACCACTAAGAAATGCTTAATAAATCACTCACATATCAGAAATGAGTAAAGTTAATCAAAATTTGGAGATTATAGATAGGTGGATAAAACAAAACCATATAGACAAATAAAGCTATAGACACAAATATTAACTTCCTTTTAAAGGTACTCAAGAAAAATCCACCACCTGAGGGCCAATATCTGCCTGACATCTGTCCTTAGTCACAGGCAGAGTATGTGGAGGGGTGGTTGTAGGGCCTGTGGGAAGACAGTTTTCTCAGTGTTTTTCACCGTGACCATCCAGCAGAGGTGGCCCAGCACATAACTGTAGCCTTGAGGTGTAGTCCTCATGTGAAGAAAGCAGTAATGATATGTCATGTTGATGTATAGTTCACATGCGTGAAAACATACTTCTGTAGACGAGGCCTAAACTTGGCCCTGTGCTGGCTTTGTCTGTAAATCATTTACACACTAATAGGGCTTCAGTACAGGTGTAGGAGCTCTCACAGCTTCTCACTGACCACTCAGGGGGCACGAGACCAGTGTTGAGACAAGAACCCAGAGGCGCTGCCACTGCTGGTCGCTGCTAATGTTGCTACCTGTGTGTCCACTGCCTCATAATAACAACATGTTCCTGCTCCCCACATATGGGCTTCATTCCTGCTTTCTCACCTGCCACCATCAAGAACTGGGCAAGCTTGTAGCTGATGCCCTACAGGTGGGGACAAAGGTGTGGAAGGAATGTTCGCTCAAAGAGGGCAACCCTTTTCTAACTCCTGTTTATTTTTGTCATGACAAAGATTAGCCCCATGGTCATCATACTTCCAGAAATATTTTTTAAGAGAATCCATATCCTTCAAGTTTAACTATTTGGAGCAAAACAATATTGTGAAAATCTATGTATGAGCCAAAGAAATCCTTTAGATGGTCATTTTTAATCCATAGAAGGCTGACACATAATTCTGGGCCTATACATTTGAGTCTTGTTCTTGTCAGTTTATTTCTTTGCAATGTTTTGTTTACTAAAATCTATTGAATTTTCTTTTATGAATGGAATATATAAGTAGAATTGTCATTCAGAAAATGTTCAGGTATTGAAAATGACAGGGAGCTGTCATTGATGCGTAGGCTAAATGAAGTGAGGCCTAGGTGCCCTTTGGAAATTGCTGTTTTATCTTATTCTTTTCTTCTTAATTGAGATAACCTTGGTTTACAACACTGTATTTTATTTAGGAGGATAGGGTCATGCCTTCTCAGACACCTGCCACCACACAACACACCATCAAAGCTCCCACAGCCCTTTACCACATACCATTGAGCCCCCTCCGCACTCAGTTCCCCCTACTCCATCTTCCACCTCTAGTAACCTCAATCTGCAGTCTGATTTCTAGGATTCGTTTGGGGTTAGTTTCACCAGTTCCTTTATTTTATTTTCTATGTATGTGATGCAAGTGACATCACCTGGTATTTGCCGTTTTGCTTCTGTTTGACATTCAACAGGTGTTTAATATGAATTTATTTTAAAAATGAAAAAATATTAAGAGCAAGTTTTCATGACTTATCATTTTAAAGTAGAATAATATTTGTCTGAGGATGGTGCTAGGTTGGAATTTTGCCTAGTCGAGATTTAATTTTGCATGCGCCTCATGATTTACAAACACATAATCTACAAATTAACTGTGTATACATACTAGCAAAAACGTTCTCTACATTGTTCTCAGGTTACATCCTCATGGTAATCATTAAAACAAACAAGAAAAAAAAAAGATAACCTGGAGCTTCCAAGAATCTGTAGGTCATGAGAAAAAGATAAGAAAGATATTGTGAAAACAGGCATATCTTAGGGGTGCTAATTCAGGGATCAGATCTCCTGAAGGACTTTACTCATCCCAAAAGATCAATCTTTACACTGCCTAAAATATTTCAAATCCCTTTACTAGCTTTTTTTTTTTTTTTAAAGATTTATTTATTTATTTATGCAAGCACTGGGTACAGTCAGAAGTGCGCGGGAGGGTGAGAGAATTCACCAGAGCCAGAGCGGGGAGCAGAGCAGGCAGAGGGACCGAAGTACACTGCTGAGGGGAGCAGCGGGCGGCAGGAGAGGTCTGCGCGCCATGTGGGACCCTCCTCCGGGGGCCGGGGAGCAGCCGGGGATCGAACCGGCGCTGCAGAGGCTGAGGGCAGCTTCACAACCCAGCGCTCAACCGCTGCGCCACCGGGGAGGCCCCCTTTACTAGCTTTTAAGATAGAATTCCAGTTTAAGCTAGATTTAAACTAGAATTAGAGATATCTATTAACGAGCACCTTCTTTGCAAAGAATACTTCTACGTGGTGTGAGCCCATTTTCTCTAACTTTAAATAACTCCAAATAACTGAGCACAAATTCAAATAGATGGATTTCTTTCTAAATCATGGCTTAAGTAAACCACACCCACTTGTCCTTAAGAGTTTGCAGGTTCATTTATAGCATAAAGCACTTTCAGAACTAGATGGGTATAGGTAGATTGTCCCAGGGTGTTAAGTTCAGGTCACACAAGGGTAAGACATTGTGCATTTGGATATGTTTGCCAATGTAGACTTTGGAGCCAAGAATTGGGAAGAAATTTCCACCTCTCTTTCTTTCCGGCTTATCCCAAGATTCTCTTCCCATAATCTAGAATCCAGATTACATAGTAAAGTTCAATGTCATCACAGATTATTTTTGTTTGTGAGCTATACCAAGGTTGTAAACATTTTAATAGCAACATTAATGAATTCTGAACAACCACTTAAACCCCTAAAAGTTCTATTAGTGGCTTTATATTTATTTTGTTTTGAATCTATCAGTGTCTTTTATCACTGAGACTTGGGGACCATAGCCATGTCTGGCGATTAGTATGAAGGTTGAAAATTGTTTTAACTGAGTAAATGTCAATGTGCAAGATAATAGGAAGGGAAAAAGAAAAAAAGGAAGTACCCACAGACACTTGAAAGTAGAGTGTTACTGCTAAATTTTCCTACGATAGTCCATCTTTGTTTCCTTCTCTATGGAGTACTAATAAAACATAAAAAATGAGAAAACTAAGCATCAAAAGTTTTGCAGATTTTCCTGAATTCATGATGGAGCCAGGAAGAGAATCTACATTTATCCTAACTAAAAATTTTGGCGATTGGAGAAGTTGGAATGATATTCTTTTGACAGAAGATTGTTTCAAAAGTGAAAGTACAAAGCATAATTATAAATACATCTTATAAAAATATGCATTCACCTACATATATTTATGGAAGTTCTACCCTATTCTAGTCATTATTCTAGGCACATGGGATAAATCACTAATACAAATCAAAATAAATATACAGACAGAATATGACCACAAAGAGTTTACCTTGTAATGATGGGAAACAGTGAATAACAATAATTAAGAAATTTGGCTTTCAGGAGGTATAAGAAGTATGGAAATAATACAGCAGGCCAAGGAGAACAGGTATGTGGAAGAAGAGTACACTGCAATTATAACTAGAGTGGTCAGGGTAAAAGTCAGGAAAAAGATAAATTCTGAGCAAAATTTGAAGGCAGGGGACAGTAAACCCGTGACTGATCCTCTGGAAGAGTACAGCCAACAAAAGAAATGGTCCAAAGGCCAGAGAGTAAATTTAGGCACATCTCAAAAATTATCAGCAGCTTTTTAAAATGCATTTTTGAAAATTTTGAGGAAGCCTAGTAGGAAGATTTAACAAAATAAAAAAAAAAAAGCCACAGAAAATAGGCAAAACAAACTTTTATTAATGGGGTTGTTAGTGACAAACTATGAAGCCATTCTGAGTGTTCCAAGTCAAAGGTATTTGTTAGGAAAGCACTGGGCTGTCCCAGAATCTTAAGGATGTAAGAACTGGGCTTTTAAAAGACTAATGGGTTAACTATGCATTCCCTTTATAATGAGTGATACCGAGCAATTTTTTTTAAAGATTTATTTGTTTATGAATAGAAGAGCTGAAGTGTAGGCCAGAGGTAAAGAGAGATCTGAGGATTCACCAGAGACAGAGTGGGGAGAAGAACAAAGGCAAATCTACTGAAATACACTGCCAGGGGGAACAGCAGGTGAGACAGGAGAGGTTTGCTGCATCATGTAGTTTAGTTCCATGCCCTGGGATCAAACTCCTGCTGCAGTGGCTGTGGATAGCTTCATAGTACTGAGACTTAACCCCCTGCACCACCAGGGCAAGGAGGCCTTATATATAGAGGTCCCAATACTGAGCAATTTTTGCTGTGCCCTATGCCACCTGAATGTTTTCTTTGGAGAAGTGTCTATTAGGGTCTTTTAACTATTTTTCAATTGAGTTGCTTATGTTGCTGACTTATATGAGTTCTTTATATATGTTGAGAATAAACCCTTTGTTTGACACGTGATGTGCAAATATATTCTTCCAATCCAAAGGCTATCTTTTTGTTTTTTCGGTAGTACAAACATTTTTGGCTTTATGTTCTATTTATTTTTGTTTTTATTTCCCATGCTGTTGAGGTTAATATCTGAGGTTAATATCCCAGACACCTATATTTTATTTTTTGTATTGTA